TGAAACAATCATATTCACAGCTGTCTTTAGTAGGGTCTTCTCTGTTTCTTGATCATTTTGATGGCTCATTTGTCTTGCTTACTAGAGATGTCTGATTCCCTGACAAAGCGTTTGGTTTCATTGTAGAATCCGGCGAACAGGAAGGAGATACTGTGCGATGATAAGCTGAAGACGATAATGGATGGCAAAGACAAAGTGGGATTCACAGAGATCACGAAGCTCTTGTCCGCTCATTTTCCTAAGTCGGTCTGATTTGGTGGTCATGTTTCTCTTCTCAGTAGTATCTAAATCTATCTAATCCAAGAAATGGGGTTTGGTTTCTTTTGGATGTGTATATTGGAAAAATTGGAAATGCCAAACCTAAAACTCTTTTTGACCCATCTTTTAGGGAAATATTATGTAATGTTGACAGTTTATCTTAATATCGTTTTGATTTTGGAGACCATGTCAATACTTTTATCACTTGTTCCTATTTTTGAATCTCATTTATTGCGATATTAATCACTTGATCAAGATTTATGGAGCTTCCAAGTATCAGATTTTGGAAACAAAAATATGATGTATCGTGGAGGTAACGAAGTCGGCAAAAGATTGTGGATTTCGATATATTTAACAGAAATGAATGGTCAAAATCAATAACATTATAGTATTTGATTGAGCTAACACGTGTCATGTTGGATGCAAGAAGAAGAAATGCGTTGTTATAACGAACATACATCAACGCGTCCATTTCGCTTTAAATCAATAGCCAAGAGTCCTTTTCGCTACGTATACACATCTACACACGTATGTATATGTAACAGAGTATATATTTATTTTTAACAAATCTTGTATCATTTGTTATTCATATAATCCTATCTTTCAAAGCTCTTGATTTTCAAATCCAGGTAATTCAAAAGGCTCTCATCTTTGATCTCTTGTAACTGTTTCTTGAATTCCTTCCAACTCATTTTTGAAACGTTGTTTAGATCGTAAGTAATGGGTAAAGACAAGCATCACGAACAAGACAAAGGAATGTTCTCGCATCATAATCACCACGGCCATGGATATCCGCCTGGAGCATATCCTCCTCCGCCGGGAGCTTATCCTCCGCAGCCTGGTTACCCTCCGCAGCAGGGTTACCCTCCGCAAGGTTATCCTCCGGCGCCTCATGGTTATCCACCCGCCGCTTATCCACCTCCTCCCGGAGCTTATCCTCCCGCCGGTTACCCCGGTCCTCAACGTCCAGGTTCTTATTACTTTGAATTAAAGTTTTGTGGGCATGTCTCTTTATAACCTCGCTTTGTTTTAAAATGAGAGCTTAGTTTGACAAAAGAAAAACAATATGCATATTTACTAGTCCGATCGGTTTATATGTTTTGGGTGGCGTCTTATCTAAATCTAGCTCTCAAAATATGGTTAAAAGACAAAATGTACATTTTTTGTTTTGAAACTTGATCAATCCAAACCGAATAGTTTCTTAAATTGAGGAATATATGGATTCAATATATTTGTATATGGTGTATGATGTATGGTCCATTTAACTATTAAACGATAAATGAAATTTCTAAAGCAAGGATTGGTTAAAAAACTTCAAGTATAAATTTAAATATATGAAATCTGTAGTTTTGATATGTTTTTGTTTAATCGATAAATTCAAGTATCATATAAAAATATGGCTTTGGTTCGGTTTGGAGATACATGCATGGAACCTACTGATTTAGAAATATCTTGTGAACAGGATTTGGAGGTGGAGGAGGAGTTGGGGGATTGATAGCAGGAGCCGCAACAGTAGCGGCGGCTGCGATGGGAAGTCACCACGCGGGTCACCACGGTGGTTATGGTCATCACGGTGGCAAGTACAAGAGAGGGTTTTTCGGTGGAGGAAAGTACAAGAGAGGGAAGCACAGTATGTTCGGAGGAGGGAAGTACAAGCGTGGCAAACACGGCATGTTCGGAGGCAAACGAGGCAAGGGTGGCTTGTTCGGACGTAGGAAGTGGAAATGATCATATTAATCATCCTCAATTCCTCATCTCTATTATGTGTCTCAACTTATTAAATTAAACATATATAATAATTAATATATTATGTGTATACCTACTTTGAAAAATTAGAAACATTGGCCTACGGCCACATTTCTTAAAAGTATGTTAATAGTTTAAAATGTATGTTGATAGTTTGTAAACACAGTTACGTATGTACATATATTTGCATCAATGCATACTTTGTTTTCCTTTTTTCTTTTTTTGGTATACACTGTTAACAATAAATCTGATCTGAATTATAAAAAACAAATTGTAGTTAATAATGTTGCTTCATTTTAGATTTAATTGCCAAATTATTTACGTTTGCAGTGCATTTGCAAAATGATTTTTTCTTAAGTCAAAAATTTTCATTGGCAAATTTGCTTCTCATGTTATTTTTTGAAATTTTTCAAGTCACTAGTACAAATTTTGTGTTAACAAATAGAAAATGAAGAATGTTATATTATCGACTTTGTTTAACCAACATGTGATCAATTACGGCGTTTATCAGTGTAGACACAATTCTAACATATATTAGTGTTATCACACAAACAAACAAACAACACCTAGCAATAGAAAATATATGCACAAACAAAATTACAAACACACGTTAAATTAAAAATTTCTAAACATTTTCCTTACTTGACATTGCCGATATTGTTCTTTCATTCACTATAGAATATTGTAAAGCAATAGTTAAAATCAAAGATTATTTTTTTATGATTTAATCATTTTTTACCAGATTTTACAACTTGGGCTGGAGAAACATTATTAGCAATGTAATATATAGTGCTCACTCGAGCAACTCCATATATAATTCGATTTGATTTCTTATTCATTATTTTGATCTTTATGGCTTTGGAATTCATTACATAGAGATATTTATTTTATTTATTTGGTATATTTTTTCATTTTTTGCTCCTTCCATATTAATTGATTTACCTATTCAAACTTATGTGTATATTTTGAGCACATGAAAAATCTTCAATTCAATATTCAAATTACTACAAATTTTGTGTTAACAGATAAAAAAAATAAAATTGTGCTTATGGCCTCTATCAATGTTGCAAGTTTACATTTTTTCGATTAATCATTAATTTGTTACAATTTTAGTTCTGACTTTTTCTTTTTAGTAAATTGGAGTAGGTATAACGATGGTAACATTTTGAATCAAGATGTTTGGTTGAGAGCTAGTGGAGAACCTAGACTAGCTAATTCTGATTATAATTCTGATTGTAACTATGATGAGGAGTACGATCACCCCCAAAATAGATAATGTTGAGTTTATAATAAGCTAAAGGGGTGATAAGTTAAAGATATCAACAAATGCCTACAGCGATGTAATGAAATTTTATTTTTAACACGCTAAAAACAAAGTACTGATTAGAAGATTTGAAGGTGAAAATGTGATGTTAAAAGCTAATTATCCAAAAAAACAAAAACAAAAATTGTATGGAAGTGAAGTAAATCTGGTAAGATGAATTTTTTTTTTGGAAGTGAATTAGATATTTTGTGTTTTCCAAATTAGCTTAAAATAACATTAAAGATTTTGGAACCTGGATAATAGGAGTTACTTATCCCAAAACTAAAATTAAACATATTGTGGATAATTATAAAATTTTGGTTATAAATATTTTAAGCTACAAAAGAAAATTCACGTTAAAATTAAATTATATGATAATTAAGATTTTTCTTAGTCAACAAAACATAAACAGTTTGGATAATTAGTTGGCGACAAAAAAGTATAGTTTGGATAATCAGATTAGATGTTCTTTTGCAATAAAATCGGAAAACTAGTTTTTTATATTAATGCAATTTTAATTAGTTGAAAAATAGTATGATTGTTCTACTAAATCAAAAAGAGACCGACAAAAAATATTAAAATCTGAAAATTCTACTTAAGATTATTGTTCATGTTAGCCAAACAAAATTCATTACTATCCAGATAAAGATTCAAAGTGAACTCGGGTAGTGAGTTTCTTTTATACTAAAAATTCGGGATGAGTTTAAAAATTAAAAAAATGCCACACTGATTAAGATTTTTTATCTTTGTATATCCAAATTATCTTAACGCAAAGATTTTCTGTCGCTTCTATATAAACCTTTGTTTATCTTCTTTCGCTCAACAAAAAAGAAAAAAGTTTGCTTTTAGCAATGATGGTTTCTCTTAAATTTCTCTTATGTTGTTTCTTAGCAACTAGTTGTGCTTATGCAACAATTGTTTCTCATGATGGTCGAGCCATCACTATTGATGGTCATCGCCGAGTAATTCTCTCTGGTTCTATCCATTATCCTAGAAGCACCCCTGAGGTAATGAAACCTACCATCCATCAATTCATATCTACACACTATGAGAGTGGTCTTATATATTTTGTTATGTTTAGTAAGGTTGTAAATAATATTCATTTTTGGTTCGTTACGTTTAGATGTGGCCGAACCTTATAAAAAAAGGCAAAGAAGGAGGTCTTGATGCAATCGAGACTTATGTTTTCTGGAACGCTCATGAACCAACTCGTCGTCAATATGATTTCTCTGGAAATCTTGATCTTATTCGTTTCTTGAAAACCATCCAAGATCAAGGATTGTATGGTGTTCTTCGCATTGGACCATATGTGTGTGCAGAGTGGAATTACGGGTAACATTTTTAACTTCTTTGATCTTACTAATTCGTATATCAAAACATACCGTCAAACGTCAATGTCCCTTTATCTTGGTGATATTTTGGTCCCTCTCGAGTAATTTGATCGGTAAATTGTTTAATCATTTTGAAACAGAGGATTTCCGGTGTGGCTTCACAATATGCCTGGAATGGAATTCAGAACTACTAATACCGCGTTTATGGTAATCTAATATGTAATATGCCTCGATAATCTACATACTTTCTCATCAAATATGTAATATAATGTTTAACTAAATTATATATATATATATATATATATATATATATATATATATGTATGTTTTATATACAGAATGAGATGCAAAACTTCACAACTATGATAGTAGATATGGTTAAGAAGGAAAAGTTATTTGCATCACAAGGAGGTCCAATTATCCTTGCTCAGGTATTCATTCTAATCTCTAACACTATGTTATCCATTCGGTAGTCTAATTACAAAGCTCTTAGCAAATTTGATTTTATTAACCATGCAGATTGAAAATGAGTATGGAAATGTGATTGGATCGTATGGAGAAGCGGGTAAGGCATATATCCAGTGGTGTGCAAACATGGCTCAATCTCTTGATGTTGGTGTTCCGTGGATCATGTGTCAACAAGATGATGCTCCTCAACCTATGGTAACTAAATTGCCTTAATCTTAATGAATACTTTATGAACTTAACTTATATCAGGACTGATAGTTTTTAAATTGTTTGATTTTGTAGTTGAACACATGCAATGGTTTTTACTGTGACAACTTTGTACCAAACAACCCCAACACTCCTAAGATGTGGACTGAGAATTGGACCGGATGGTTAGGCTTTACTATTTTATTTACAAATAAACATATTATCTCTAATATCCTTAAATTTTATTATTAAAAATAAATATGCTATCTCTCATAATTGTGTAGGTATAAGAATTGGGGAGGGAAAAATCCTTACAGAACAGCCGAAGATGTTGCATTTGCTGTTGCAAGGTTCTTTCAAAGAGGAGGAACTTTTCAGAATTACTACATGGTAAAAAAAATTTAATGATGAAACTTTTAATATATGCTTAAGTATTAATGATTAATCACACAGATTAGTTTACGATAATAACAATTCATTGAATGTTTTACCTTTTTGGTAGTATCATGGAGGCACCAACTTTGACAGAACCTCAGGTGGTCCATATATCACAACTTCATATGATTACGATGCTCCTCTTGATGAATTCGGTAAGTGTAACTCATATTCACATTTTTTTTAGAGTTCTAATAAGCGATTTTAAGTAATAATACCATGATGGATATCTATTAGGTAATTTGAACCAACCAAAATACGGACACTTGAAACAACTTCATGATGTTCTTCACTCTATGGAGAAAACTCTCACCCACGGGAATATATCTACCATTGACTTTGGAAACCTAGCTACGGTAATATTCTCATTACTTTTCTGTTTTTTTTTTTAGTTAACCAGTATTTATTTGTTCTTGAACTTACATATGAACAAATACTATATAGGCAACGGTTTACAAAACAGAAGAAGGATCAAGCTGCTTCTTTGGAAACGTAAATGAAACTTCAGATGCAATAATCAGTTTCCAAGGATCTTCTTACGTTGTCCCTCCTTGGTCCGTTAGCATTTTACCGGATTGCAAAACTGAGACTTACAATACCGCTAAGGTTTGTCTCAAATTTTAAATGGTATCATTACATATATAAGAATTATCATTATAACATTAGTAGTTGTAATATTTATGCATTTTTTGTGTGTTTTTAAAATTTTAGGTTACCACTCAAACTTCGGTGATGGTTAAAAAACCAAATGAAGCTGAGGATGAGCCTACAACTCTTAAATGGTCATGGAGACCAGAGAACATGGACAGTTTTCTTTTGAAAGGAAAAGGAGAATCTACAATGAGACAATTGTTTGATCAGAAAGTAGTAAGCAATGACCAAAGTGATTACCTTTGGTACATGACTACCGTTGATCTCAAAGAGAAAGATCCAGTTTGGGGCAAAAACATGTCTCTTCGTATCAACAGTACTGCTCATGTTCTTCACGCTTTTGTCAATGGACAACATATTGGTAAGTAGAATGATATATATGTTTCTCAACAGCACTAGGTCATTAGAATAAAAAACAAAAATTAAACCATTTTTGTTGTTTAATTTAGGTAATTATCGCGCGGAGAATGGAAAGTTTCATTACGTTTTTGAGCAAGACGCAAAATTTAACGTCGGTGCTAATGTCATTTCTCTGCTTAGCATAACCGTAGGCCTTCCGGTGAGTTTGAAATCTGAATGTGTTAATTTTTTTATGTTGAAACCATTCTTTTGAATGCTAATTTTTAATTAACCTAATTTTGTCTTTTTATTTTTAGAACTATGGTGCTTTCTTCGAAAACGTACCGGCCGGAATCACAGGACCGGTTTTTATAATTGGAAGAAATGGTGATGAAACCATTACAAAGGACTTGTCTGGTCATAAATGGAGCTATAAAACCGGTTTAAACGGGTTTGAGAACCAACTCTTCAGTGCACAGTCACCTTCCACATGGTCAGGTGAAAGCGTACCGTTCAACCGAACCATGACTTGGTACAAGGTATGTATAATATTATTAACGTTAACAACTAACAAATAATACATGTATAGTTTCAATTTCAAATTGTATAATGTCAATAATTGTTATACAGACTACTTTCAAGGCTCCTTTGGGAAATGAACCAGTTGCTGTCGATCTCTTGGGACTTGGAAAAGGTACGGCTTGGATCAATGGCAACAACATTGGACGTTACTGGCCAGCTTTTCTTTCAAGTGAAGATGGTTGTGCCGCCGAATGTAATTATAGAGGGACTTACTATGCTGAAAAGTGTCAAACCAATTGTGGAGAACCTACTCAAAGATGGTACTTTTTCTTAATATTGATTTGTTTCAAAATCACAACTTTTTAACTGGGTTTGTCTCAACGTTGAAATATTTATTTCTTTGGTTTGAATCAGGTACCATGTTCCTCGTTCTTTCTTGAACTCGGACGGAGACAACACGCTGGTTTTGTTTGAAGAGATTGGAGGAAACCCATCCTTTGTCAATTTCCAGACTGTTAGAGTAGGAAGTGTCTGCGCAAATGTCGACGAGAAGAACGTTCTTGAGCTTTCATGCAATGGAAAACCCATTTCCGCCATCAAATTCGCCAGCTTTGGTAACCCAGGAGGCAAATGTGGATCCTTTGAAAAGGGAACTTGTGAAGCAAGCAAAGATGCAGCAGATATTCTCACTGATGAATGTGTTGGAAAAGAAAAGTGTTCCATTGATGTTTCCGAGGATAAGTTTGGAGCACCAGAATGTGGTGGTGCTACTAGGAGACTCGCCGTCGAAGCTATTTGCTAGATTTCTTTTTTTTTCCAGATTTTAGGTTTTTTTTTATAGATTAATGGTGTTTCTTTTTCATAGTTTTCTAGATTAGGTAGGCTGTGTTTTTCTTTTCAAAGGATTATTTAGGTGCTTTTGATCCTAGGAACTTTTCCACCATTATTAGGTTTAAAATGGGTGGTTTTGTTCAAATAAAAGAACAGCTTCTAATAATTTGGTGGGTTTTTCTTCTCTTATATATCTCGATCAATTTTTCTACAATAAAAGAACAGCTACAAAAAAAATTATGTTGTAGCATGGCTGCTTCGTTATCACTGGAGAACATCTTTGTTTCATGGCCGTAGACTAGATAATATACTCTATGGTTGCAACGGGTTTTGAAGCAGATTTGTTGATCTCCACTTGACAGACGAGAAAGATCGACAAGAAGGTAAGCATTTCCTGATTTCAGTTTAGAGGGATTCTGCTTTTTATTAAAACAAGTCTTAGTTGTTTTCCTAACTTTTGGTTGACTTGGAATTTACGGGATATCTATGCGGCTTTTGCCATATTTATATTCCTAATGTTGAGTTAAGTAGGTCTGTGTATGTGCCACATGCTCAGCTTGGGCAGTACAAACTCAGTGAGTGAAACTGAAGCTACTACGAGACAGGTTAGTGATTGGTCTATACCTTGTTTAAGTACAGTCTCTCTCGAGCTTACTTCATTTGTTTTTTTCTCTGAACATTTTAAAGCCATTTTTTGGACTCAACACTTCCAGGTGAATGTTCAGTTGAGAGACAGTGAAGAGCATAAAGGACTTGAAGAATTTAAAGACCAAGACTGTTCGTAAAATTCAAGTTTAGTTTGTCTTAGTACGTAATAATCATCTTTTGCAGATTAGAGCAAGTCCAGAGATTCAATTGTTTACTTATATTTAATCATTAAACACCCATATATATCAAAGTTTATATTTACTGGAGCAATGTTATTTCGTATCTTATACTCATTTATTGCCACGCTAATAGACTCACAGTAAAATAGTTAGAATCTGACTGGTGTATATAAACTTAAAAACTCAAACTTTTAGAAATATGGAGGAAATAGAGAAGCAAGACTGCAAGAGTGAGAGATTTAATATTGACGCTTAGGGTTTAACATACAAATTACAAAATAATAGACTGTTGTTAACTCAATCTATGAACTTAACAATATCAATTTAGAAACATAAAAAATTGTCGACCTAGTCAATGTATTGGAGCAGCAAACCCTAATTGTAAGGAAGCGAACATCATTGGATCACCAAAAGATGTCGTCTGATTCCATGAAGCATTCCCAAACTGGAAAACTGGGTTTTGTGTCTGCATCATCGGAGGAAGTTGATTGTTACTGCAGCTTCCCATGCCATCAATTCCTTGTCCCTCAAGCAATAAATCCGAGTAACCAAAACCATGATTCCACGAAGCATTTTGATCAGACTGGACAGGTGGGCTTTCTATCTGCATCAGAGGAGGAAGTTCAATGTTACCGAACCGTTGTCCCCCAAGTAAAGAATCTGAGTAACCCTGATCAAGATTCTGTGGAATCATCGCCGGTTGGTGAAAGGTGGAAGGCAATTGGGTAAAAGTACGGTTAACATGGTTATAGAGAAGGATTGAACAGTTGGGAGGATGATTTATCAACGAAGACGAAGACGAAGACTTGGATAAATCAGTTGGGATTGGGAAGCCGGAGTAAACAGCAAGGCTCTGCCTCTGATCTTGTTCCAGATGATTCGCTATTGGCTCTTCAGTCTTCTGTTGATGATTATCGACAATTAGCGAAGGAGATGGATCCGTTGATGAAGACGCGGCACAGGGCTCTCTCTGATGATCATGTGGAGCGGAAAGAAGACGAAGTTTTTCTTGGAATACACGTAAGCGACTTTCCAAGGAAGCCTCCATCTCAAACAATTTGTCTGATAATTTGTTGTCATCGTCATGCTTCTTCCCGTCGCTGATCTTCTTGTTCAGAAACTGAGAAAGGTTTGAGCTTTTCTTGCGCTTCTCTCCTTCGCTTAATTTGCTAAACCTCTCGGCCATATCTCTGACCTTGGTTTGATCCTCCGGCCATGTCTTGATTAGTTCTCCGTCACGGCCGTAGTAGAGTACGCAGAGTTCGACATCGCATAGAGTAGAAAGCTCGAAGGCTTTCTTGAAGAGCGTCTGTTCTCTCATGCACAAATTGTTGTTCTTTTTCGAAGCCGGCATGTTGTTGGATGATTTCTTGAATTGCGTTTGATTCCGCACAGAGAGTTTGCTGTTCTTCGTTGCCCTAGAAGAAAAAGACGAATCCATGATTGTTTTTTCGCACAGATTTTCAGAGAGAAAAGAAACAATTTGAGAGTGAATTGCGAGTAGCTTGAATAAAGGTATGAACAAAAGGTATGGTTGAGGGTGTTATATAGTTATTGAGGATGATGTTGTTTCCTTTTTACTGCTATTTCCTTTTTTTCTACGGCGATTGTTGTCTATGTGCCTTCTTCTTATTCCATTTTTTGCTTTTGTATGATACCGATCGGTATGAGTCCTACTAATCTAGCCGTTAGGATCATCTCTCGATTTCCATTTATTCAACTCACTCAATCTAACCGTTGTAGTAAATTTATTTAACTATTAATTATTATATTCACAGGAAAATTGTACAACTTTGATATACAACAGAACAGAGCTTACTAGTCCAAGAAACAGTGTAATTAACATGCTGATCTCCAGCTGATTTTGCATTTTAACATCATCACCATCGCTCGTGAATCGTTCTCCAAATTTTTGAGTTCATGTAGCATAATCATTTAAGCCAACAGAAACTATATCTGCCTTTGAATAAGTGTCGGTTTTCTTTGGTTTCCGAATAAGCAACAAATAGTGACTTTCTCTTCCGTTTCATCATCAGAGTTCCCAAGAGGCCTTTTCTTGTCTCTCACGGCATTTAAAGAGGAGGATGATTTTCCTCAAGTGTTTTTTTGGAGGAACTGGTTTCAAGAGAAAGTTTTCGAAAAGGTATCTAAAGGCGCCAATAATCTGAAACGAAGAGTGTATAATTTTAAAGTAAAAGTCATGATCTCTAAGACGTAAAAGATGATACAAATGTTCTATAGACACAACAAGAGAAGCTTCAAAATCAAAGGCCGGACGTAAAACATTCACTGATGACTCCAAGATTAAAAGAGAAACCAACAAAAACATAAAAATCTCTCGCAGTGGGACTTACCTCTCTCTTTGTGTGTTTGTAAACTGAAAGTTCCTATTGAGAAGAAACTTAGGTACAACAAAAAGCTGTTCTTAAATCCGAAACATGCTAATCCCCAAACCCCTCAACACATTACCAAATATCAGATGATGATTGATGATGATGGTAATGCAGAGTCAAATTGATAGTTTGGTTGGAGAATGGTTCTTCTAGCCGAGGAGATCTTTGAACAGAGTAGGGTTCTGACTTGTTGGGTTTACACCCATCTGTCTAACAAGAGCGTCTTTCTCTAGAGCTTCCTTCGAGTTTGGTCCTTTCGAGGTTTGAGACTGATACGTGCGTGAGTTTCCTTTGGAGCTATCAGAGAGTTCAGATAAGAGAGAGTCAACGCTTGTTGTGGTTGTAATCACAGGTGCTGCATCCGAGTATAGTCCCATCACATCTGTTGCACCACCGTCTTGGCTCGAAGAATCTAGAAGCCCTTCCAACTCTTTAAAAGGATCCGTCGCTGCAACGGTTGTAGCAGTTGGCTCGCCGAAGTCGAGCAAGTCTGGTGGTGGTGGCTGAACAGGGTCCTTGGGGATGGTTGCTGGTTTGTTAGCTGTTCCTTTTGCTGGCTTGTGACCACCAGAAGATGACTTTCTATCAGTCCTTGATGATGATGATCCACCGAACAAGGATGCAGCGAGTCTCTGTTTCTCGGGGTCAACTTCCGGTTTCTTTGATTCGTAACTGCTTCGAGGCTTTGAGCTAGATGAACCAACTCCTCCTCCATCTGAGTGTGTAGTGGTACCGTTTGCTGCTTGCTGAGGAGTAGAAGAAGCTGATGTGGTCGGTTGATAGCTCGGCCTACCCCATTTTTGCTTAACTCCATCTAGTCGCAGCTTGATTTCTGACGATTCTCGTTCAGACGCCAGAGATGTTGAGATTGGCTGGTGGGACTCGGTGTAGTAAGAAGGCTCGGTTACTGGAACAAGCTCGGTCGAAGCTTCTGGTGGCCCTGATGGCTTTGGAAGTTCATAGGCTTCGAATCGGAGAGCATGAGATGTAACTTCGTGATGATCATTAGAATGGTAATCAGTGGTTTCAAACATCCCTGAGCGTTCCCTCTCAGAAATATAAGGTTGTGCTCCACTCTCGATAGCTTGTTGGATGTAGCCATTGAGGAATGAAAGATCCTTATCAACCTAAAATCAGAAAGAAAAAAAAAAGACCATGAGATTCAAGAAATCCGCGTTAGAAGGGAAGGTAGTGAAGAAGAAAAAGGTTACCTCGATGTCTTCGCAACTAGCATCTAAAGGTATTATACTCTCGACAGCACGGGCATCTAGAGCAATGAGAGCCTGAAGCTCATATGCACGTTGCTGAAGATCTGTTGAATGTGAAGCCAGTAGCTCTTCAATCAAAGATTGGCACTGCATTATAAAACTAGTCAGTCCGTGACAAAGCGGGCCATAGATTGGGTTTTCAACTTCAGATCTGTTTAAAGATACATACCTCTGGCAATACATCGACCTTTCTTCCAGATGCAATTTCAAATGCATAGATCTTCATCAGTGCAGAAACAGCATAACCCTTCAAAAAGAAGAGGAAACCATTGGTAAACATACACGTAGCAACTGGACTGAGTTTGCGGTAACCAGTAACACCATCACTCTCATGACATGCACATTTTAAGTTATACATTTTCAAAAAACGAGTTGGCATGCAATGTGTTAGTCATATTTGCATGGAATTCAGTCATCATAGCTTTGTTTACTGAGCCTTCTATGTCATCATCATGTTTTTCTAATAAAACTAACAAGAGTGGA